TCATCTTGTGCAGACCCAGGCCTCTTGACTTCTCAGGGGAGCTGGGGTGGGGCAGGTAAAGGGGCAGGAGAGCTGTCAGGGCTTGGTGAGGGGAGGGTGCTAAGGAAGGCCTGCTGGAAAGGTGAACCCAGAGGCTAGAAGTGGATCAGAGATTTGGGGGTCTGCATCAAAGCAGGGCCAGAAAACAGGACTGAGCAGGCGGATGGGGTGAGATGCAGGGATCGGAAGGGGAAGGAGTGTCTCCAGGCTCAGGTTAGTGGCTGGGAGGCTGGTAGTGCCAGGCTGGCACCAAAGTGGCACTGCCTGCCAACGCTCCTCCCCCAGCATGTTAGCGTCCCTGGGCTCTGCCCCTCCCAGCTCAGCTTGCGTCCCAGGCATTGCCCGCCTGAGTGCTTGTGGCTGGGGCTGGTGGACAGAGGCTATCTTCATGGGGCCAACAATGGGCTCCAGACTAGCCAACCAAAGACAAAGGGGTGTCTGAGTGGCTGGCAGGGGTTTGTGTCCCTGGGCAGGGATGGGAGCGCCCCAGGAAGAGTCAGAAAGGGCTAGGAACTCAATGTAGTCAGAGTGGCAGGAGTCAGTGTAACACTTGGTCCTGTCCTGGGGAACACTCCAGCTCAGGGTGGAGAGGGGATTGGGAGAAGAATGTGTGGCGGACCAGCAATGAGGAGAGTGGGAGGTTCCAGGGAAGGCCCTGGGGCAGGGGGAGGAAGGTGTCCTCCTGGTAAACTCTCAGGGTGCTCAGGGGTTTGGTACCATGGCATGGAGCAGCTCAGGAGAGGGACCTCCCTGGCCCCTACTAACTCCCCTACCTCAGGAAGCCAGCCTCATCTCACCCTGAGCTTCCCTAGCCTACTTGCCCCTGGGCTGGCTAGCTGTCCCCCATCAGTCCCTGGGCTAGGGTGGAGGTGATGGGAGGTTCTGTGTTTAGCATGGAGCCAGGTGGGAGTGAAGGGAGGAGAGTTCTTGTGAATCCTGTGCTCTCAGTGCTGAACAGAAGCCCTCCCCTGTCTCTGCCCCCTGGGGTGGCCCCCAGCAGCTGCTGATAGGGTCTGGGTCCCAGGGAAATCATGTCCCAGTTTATTAAGTATCTGCCAAGTGACTGTTGCTAGAAATAGGGCCACTCATTTCACTGGATCCAGGTCTTTTTCCTCCCCCACCTTCCTGCCTCCCCTACCTCAGAGTGCTCAGTGGGCGCTGGCTGCTTGTACATGCTGTCCACAAAAGCTGGTGCTCTGAATAGGCAAGGCAGCTGGAGCATGGGCGCAGGGGGCCGCCCAGTGGCACCTGCTGAGCCGGCTGCTGCCTGCCCTGCCCCTCTATCTGACCCTCATCTGACTTTCTCCACACAGCTTTGGGGCTGCAACCCCCATGGGTTAGAGCCTATTGGGTCTGATGGGGTGGGCGGGCAGTCTGGGCCCAGCAGTTGCTGGTATTTGGTATCGATGGTGACCACGGGTACAAGGCTCTTCCAGGCAGGTCCTGCTTTACCACGCCCTGTCCCAGGCACATCTAGGTCTTGCTGGATTTTCACGGAACAAAGTTGCTTGTTAGGGGGTGAGTGCAAGGGGCTGAGAAGCCCTCTAGTTCCAGAGCTGCCTGACTCCACTCGTGGTCCTTCAGGAAGGCCTCAGTGTGCCTGTGACCACAGCACTCACCTGCCCACCAAGGCCAAGTGCAAGACCTAAGGCAGCCCTGCCATTCTTGATGGCTTAGGTACCCCAAGGGTCAGGAACTCTGGGCTAAAGGCCTCTACTGTCTGGTACCAGTGACCCCCAAATTGTTCTCCCCTTGACTGGATGTTGTGGGAGAGGGAGGTAAATATTTCTGTCTCAGAGGTAGGGACTTGGCGGGATGGTGGTTTTGGGGGCCGATGACAAGCTCAGTCTGGGGAGGTCAGAGTGGGCTGGGCTGGGGCTAGCGGTTTGGGAGACCCCTGTCCCTAGGAGGGGACTGAAGCCATGGGTGGGTAAGGAGGCTCAGGAAGGGGGGACTCATGTGCTGGGTATGAGGGAAGGGCACAGGGGAGAGAGGGGCCAAGACATGGGTCAGGATGGAGCCTGAGGGTGTGGGGACTTGGAAGATCCATGGCCCCCTGGCTCCCCGGCCACTGACCTGCCTGCCTCTCCCGCAGTATGTGGTCATCCCCACCCGAAGGGCCACAGCTGTGGCCTTGCAGAGCTTCACCTCCCACCTACTGGGGGATGCAGGAAGCCCCTACCTCATTGGCTTTGTGAGTAGCCCGGGGGCTCAGCTGGCCTGGGTGTTGGGGCGGGGGGCCGCTGCAGGGCAGCCTGGCCTGATGTCTGCCTCCCCAACCCTTCCAGATCTCCGACCTGATCCGTCAGAGCACCAAGGACTCCCCGCTCTGGGAATTCCTGAGCCTGGGCTATGCCCTCATGCTCTGCCCCTTCATTGTGGTCCTGGGGGGCATGTTCTTCCTTGCCACTGCTCTCTTCTTCCTCAGTGACCGTGCCAAGGCTGAGCAGCAGTGAGTGCGGATGAGGGTGGGCCTGCTGCCTTGCTGAGAAACGGGGACTATGACAGCCACACCACAACCCCTGCCCTGGGTGGTCCAGTGTTTGGTGACCTACTGTTAATGTGGGTGGGTAACCTAGCTGCTGGGGTCCAGGACCAGGTCCCAGTTACACACCATCCTGTGGGCCTTCCCAGGCCTCTGCTGGGAGCTGCAGGAGCCCACAGGGGCCCTGGCCAGTTCTGTCCCTGGTGGTTGATCTCTGGGGTTAATGGTTTTCAGAGCTGGGACCCCTTCCTTTTCCTTCCTCTCATTTTCTGACTTCTTTCTTGTTTCTTCTTTATTCTTGTCTCTTTCTCTCCTCTCCTCACCCCTGGGCTCTCCCACCTCCCCCTGGGGCTGACGAGGTCCCTGCCCAGCACCTCCGGTCAGCCGGCCCCGGCGATGCGATGTGCCAGAGCAGTGCCCGGGCCCGGCCCCCGCTGATGCGTCACCCTGACCCCCGCCCGTCTTTCCCCCAGGGTGAACCAGCTGGTGATGCCACCCGCATCCGTGAAAGTCTGAGGTGGTGAGTGCAGGCCAGGGAGACCCTGTGGGGGCTGAGGGTGGCACTCCTTTTGGCAGGGGAAAAGCCAAGGTTAGGGGACAAGGGAGCACCCCACTCCTAGTCACTTCCTGCCTAAGCATATCCCACCAACCCTGGTCTTGGTCCCACTCTCAAGATGTTGCCAGAGGAATTTACTGACAACTGCGGTGGGAGGACAAGCTAGCTCCCTCTTCCAGTAAAGCAGCTCCCCTTCCTTCCTCAGATGAGGGGGCATGAACTGGGTCAGGGCACTGGCCAGGAACTCCCCGCTGCTTGGATTCTGTTCTCTGGAATCCTCTTAAGACGTACCAGGGTCCAACTCCTACTCCGACCTTCCTCAGGGCCTGGCCCGTGGGAGCTGTAGCTTCCCAGCAGTGCAATACCCGGGGTCATAGCCTGGAGCCCTGATAAGGCCTGTTTCTCCAAACAGCAAGGAAAATGGAAGAGGGAAGCTTTGCAATGGATCCCCACTTCTGACCTGACACCCCTCCCAACAGGTGCCACTGGAACGATGAACTCACACACCTCTCCAATCTGGGAGGTGCCCTACGAGGTCCCGTACCTGGGCTGTCCCAGAGCTTTTTGTGCCATCCACAGCTGGGCACCCGCACTCTCTGGCCTGGGACTGCTGAGTGGCCCTGGATCCAAGAGGAAGCTGTCTCCCCAGTTAACCTGGAAGGCTGCATGTGTTGGAACCATGCAGCTGGACAGATTTCTAGCCCTGGGTTTGGGCTGCAGGTTCCCTGGAGACAAGGGAGAAGACAGCCTCTACTGGGTGTATCGGTAGACCCTGGCCTGCCACCAGCATATGCGACCTTGGGCATGTCCTTGCCCTCCTTAGACCACAGATCCAGGGGGCTGGACTTTCCCACACAACTTGCTGGGCAGGGGACCATCTACAGTTTTGAAGATCCCACAGATCCTGGACTGTTTGGAGAGGAGATGGCCCAGGCCTCAGACCAGCAGTTCAGGTTCTGAGGCTCACAGAGGGACTGTCAGCAGAGCCCACCGCCTCTCAGCTGGGTCTCACACCTTGGGGATGTTGGACTCAACCTGGTAAACGGAACTGGGAACCCAAGTCACTGGATACTTCTTGGCCCAGCTGGCCACTCTGGAGGACACTTGTCTCCCTGCCTTGGTTTGCCTTTTAGCCTGGAAATCTCCTGGCTGGGATCAACCCCTTACGAGAAGGTGCCAGGGGTGAAGGCCCTGGCAGAAGCTGCACACCACTCGTGCCCCCCAGGCTCAAGGTCTTTGGTAGTTACCCACCAGCTCTTCTCTGTAGGCTCATGGGCCTTCGAGTGCTTGTGCTGTCCACCCCCACAACCCCCGTTTCCAGCCAGGAACCCACTCCCTCCCCCAGGCTGGGCTGGGCCTCTTCCAGGGGCAGGGCCCAGGGGACCATTCCCAGAATCCACAGGGCAGTAGCCAGGACTCTGGCTGCCAGAGGAAGCAGCCATCCATGAAGCTTCCTGCCCCATGGATGAGCACAGAATAGGCTGAGGCCCACATGGTGAGGCCACCATGTCCCCAAATACTGGCTGCTCCTGTTAGGGAAAACCAGGCCTTCACCCAGCCTTTGATCACCCCATAGTTGTGTGTATACACATTAGGGTGTGGCTGCCAACTCCACACCAGCCAGAGCTCCCCACAGTCTGCATATTTGCTGCAATCAAGGTGGTTCTGGTCTGGGGGCCCTTGTGCCCAGTGGGAGACCCCAAGAGCCAGCTTGGATAGCATTCCTCCTGCCCCTTAGTTCTTGGCTGGCTGTGGCTTCAGTGGTGTGTAAGCTAGTGGAATACCCCTCACCAAGCTCTGGGGCACCCCTGGGGGCCTGAAAAGGGGGTAGTACTCCCCAAGACCAGCCTAGCCTCCACTCCCCACCCCAGCTGGGGCCCCAGCAATGTTTTCTTGTTGTACAAGAACCAGGTCCAAGTGTTGCCTCCTCTTCCTTCCGGAAGCCAAACCGCTCCTTTATTTTTTAGAGCTGCTGATTGTGAATCTCAAGAGTCTTAAGAGAGAAGCCAAATATATTCCTCTTGTAAATGAAATAAACCTATTTAAATCTTGCCCTGGTTGCAAACAGCTTGGGGGTGGGGACAGGAGCGGTCACACTTGTTACCTGGCCATTGTGCCGACTCACACTAGCCCACCAGGACACCAGAGCAGTGGGCCTGCACTGGCCCAGGGGCCAAGGTCCTAGGCCCATGGAGGGTGTGTGCCTGGGTGGACTGAGAATTGGGCCAGCCAGGGGCAGAAGCAGGGGCCCAGTCTCTGTACCTTGGGACTCTGGGGAAGTAGCTCAGGCCGTGCCTGCTGCTAGGGTGTCTGGCAGGCTGGCAACAGACCACGACCCAGTGCCAGAGTGAGTGCCTTAGACTGTGGCTTGTTTATTAATTAAAATGCTGGTGAAAAATTTGTCTTAAGGGCTGATGGAGGCAGGAGCAGGGTGGGCCTGCGTTCAGGGCCTTCTCACCTTTTTCAGTTGCACTTTCTTCTTCTTGGCCCCACTTTGGAAGAGGCTAGGGCCCCTGCTGGCCAAAGTCAGCCTTGCCCTTTTCCGTGGCAGGGGTGACTGTGGTGACTTGCCTGACATTCCCTTTTGGGGAAGAGCCTTCTGATGCTGCTTTTTGACTGCAGGTTCCGTAGGGGACATGGGAGTAGCTCCATTCACCTGGGATGGCTTCTGGTGCTTCTTCTGCAACTCTGGGGTCTTGGCAGGGGTGCTGGGGCTCAGGGCGGAGGTGTCAGAGGCTGGACTCTTGACAGCAGGCGTGCCATTCACCTGGGACTGGACTGGAACTTTGTCCTTTGTCCTCTTCCTCCTCTTCTTCTTCTTCCCTGTGCTGGGGGACTGTCCCCCACCAGTGGCTGCAGGCTTGGCATCCTCCTCTGGCGTGACATCCTCTGGTTTACGTTTCTTACGTTTCTTGGTCTCTGGCAAGAACCCCTTTTTCTTCCGCTTCAGGCTCACAGGGTCTTGGATGGTACTGGGGACTTCCTTGGTTTCCTTTTCCATTTTGGGACGCCTGGGGAAAAGTAAGCAAGGTAGGAAGTGCCTCGTGAGGGCAGGAGCCTCCTGCACTTCATGGTTCCATAGGACCCAGGCTGCCCAAAGCACCCAATCCGAGTGTACATGGGTGGCGGTGTGAGGGTCCTTCCAGCCCCCACCCAAGGTGCAAGTCCTCTTCCCCAAACGTACTGGACTCCCAGGGCTTTCATGGCTTGCCAGTAAAGGTCGTGGAGGCGGCTGGACCCGGTGGAGTGCTCCCCCTGCTGCAGGCTTTGCTGCAGGCTCTGTTGTTGGCCCTGCAGCACTCCCAGGAGCATGGTCAGGTCTAAGGTCAGCTTCTGTTGGAGTTGGAAGGTGGCAGCTGCAGTGGTGACAGGAGGCAAGATCGCTCCCAGCCCCAGCCACTCCTGCCTCCAAATCACTGGTTTCACACTGGGAAGGAGACAAGAGGCTTTCCCTCCTGCAGGGGCTCTACCCTGCCCACCTCATAGGGCATCTGTCCATCCTTCAGTCATCTCCAGGTTGCCAAAGCCCTTCTCACCTTCCCCCGGCTGTACTGAACATGTTATCTTTCAAACCCACTGGCTCCAAGACCCCACTCTTGTGGGTTCTGCACTATTAACCTGTTCCAAGGCTCTCTTCCAAGCCCTGCCTCCTCCTGGCAAGCTCACTCTTCACCTGGGGTCTGGCTTCCATCTAAGGACCCTGACCCTTCCCTCTAGGTCAGACTGGGGGACCCGACATGGCTTGCCCACCTGCAAGCTGGCCTCTGTAACTGCTGCCCACTCAGAATCTCTTCCAGCTCTCTTAGCTTTCTTGCTGAACTTGGCAACGATACACTCTCTCAGCCCCACCCCATAGGGACAGTGTGGCCATCCCTTCCATCTGTGACTCTTCAACCACCCTGACATAAATAGCCCGGATCCCTGCCCCGGCACCCAAGACCTCTCCCGCACAGCACTCCTGGAAGCCCAGGCGCAGGGCTCCCACTGCACCTCGTGGTGGATGGTCCTGAAGAGAGCATTGAGCAGCTCCAGGGAACACAGCTCCTTCTGGTGCTCCGCCTTGGTCTGTGTCACTCCCAGCGCCCGCAGGTTCTAGGAAGGAGGTGGCCAGCTGAGGTGCTCCGGAGAGCCACTCAGGGAGGACTAAAGGCCAGAGGGAAGAAATGTCTCCTGGATGACCCCAATTCCCACACCAGGGGCTCAGGTTCTGAGTTGCCCTTGCTCCTTGGTTCCCAGAGAACTGTTTCCACTGGGGCTGGGAGGGTGGGAGCTCTAGGCTGTTACCTCAGTGACCTTGGCCAGGACCTGGCCGATCAACTGCTTCCACTCAGGATCCTCAAAGCATAACCTCAGCTCCCGCATGGACAGGGTCTTCTGCAGCAGCAGGCAGGCCTGGGCCTGGGAGAAGGAGGTTACCAGAAGCCCGGTCATGTCATGCCAGGCAAGGCTCAAGGATGTACAGGAGATTAGCAGCCAGCCAGGCACCTGCTAAAGTCCCCCTACCCCACGCTGTGTGAGATTGGCTGCCTGATGCTCTGGGCGCTGTGGTTACCTGCCTAGTGTAGGTAGGGGACATGGAGGACTAGGGGCAGACAGGGCTCCCAACTGGATGGAGGTGGGGCCTCAGGCTATAAGAGCTCCTTCTTATAACATCCAGTCTGTCCCTGCCAGCCCCTGCCAGGTATCCTTTGTGCAGGCCAGAGCACAGGCTCCAGGAGCTAGAGGGCTGGGGCTACACAGGGGTGGCTACAGGAGCACAGCCAGCTCCACTCCTCAGTACCTCAATGCCACCACCACCTGCAGAGAGCATGTGCCATAGCCAAGGCCAGGAGGCAGGGACAGCTGTGCCATCACTCACCAGGGCAGCACCCTGGAGCCTTGCAAATACCCAGGTGAAAGTGGGCTAAGTGTGGCCCAGGCTGGGGTCTGAGATATTACTCACCTGATGGCGAGGGCGTGTTGGGCCTGCTATGTGCTGGACTAGGATGGGCAGCAGGTTCTTAGAAAGCACCTAGTGGGGAATGACAGGAGCCAGTGAGGCAGGGACAGGGTTGGGCAGGAGCCCTGGGGGGCAGGTGGGCCCCACTACTTACTGGTTGCCGGGAGAAGAGGCTGAGGAACATGGGGACTGTGAATGGGCTGTTGCGCTTGGTCAGAAAGGAGCTCAGTGCTGTAGAGTAGACCGGGGTCACAAGGTTCAAATCCAGGCAGCTGGTGGTCTGGACCAAGAGAAAGAGGTGGGTGAGGCCAGGAGAGGAGTCCCAGGACCAGGAGCAGAGCCTGGGCTGCTTTTAGAAGTTGAGGGTGGGGTACTGGGAAGGCACAGCCTCCACTCCCTGCTGCGAAATGCCTGTGGCTCCTCCCACAGCCCTCCTGGACCAAGCTCTCCCCACCTCTGGATCCTTAGGCGTGAGGCTGGTATTGGTGCTGGCTCCAGGCTGCTTCTGGGTTTTCAGAGAGCAGCTCTCAGCAGCATTGCCCTTCAAGACCCGGAGCAGGTAGAGAGAGGCATTGAAGTGGTAGAGGGCAACAGAGGAGTCGGCCTGGCGGCTGGCCTGTTGCACCAGCTGCTCTATTTGGGTATGCAGAGTCTCTACACGGTCACCAAGGTCACGGCAGTAGCGCCGGGCACGGCACAGGTGGTGCCTGTAGGGGGTAGGACAGAGCTGGTCAGACATTCTCTGTCCTGGTCCCTGCCAGGCAGAGCCAACCTGAGTCCCATTTCATGGGGGAAACAGGAGGGCAGCACAGAACTAGAGAAGAAAAGGGAGTTGACCAAGACTAAGAGGAAGCCCTAGGGCCACCTGCAGATTGCAGTGAGGTGCACAAGCCTGCACCCCAGAATGCCCACATCTCCCTGTCTCTCGTGGGACAGTACAGGCCTTGTTCAAAGTGAGACCAAGATTTACATGCATAGACCCCGACAAGGCCCTGTAGGGCTAGTGACAAAGAGAGGGGAGGAGAGATAGGCCACTTAAGAAATGAAATACTTTATTTCATACATCAGTGTTATAATAAAAAAGAAAGAAAGGAACTAGATACCGTCCCAGTAGGCAGTGGGAAGAAGTGTCAGAGTATGGCTTGGGGGTGGTACAGGATCATGTTGGGGTACATAAGTAGGTGTGCTCTCCAGTCCCTCCCGTTATGCACCCGGGGACCCAAGTCCCTGTCCTTTGTCTTCACCAGCATCCAGCACCCAGCTCTGGAGGGCGGTCTGTGTTGTACTTGCCTATGTCTCCCACAGCTGCAGGGCCCTTCCTGCTGGGCTCCCTGCCACTAGCACGGCCTCTCCCTGGCTCTTCTCCACCCTACTGCCCATTTCTTCAAAGGCAAAGAGAGCCCAGACCCTTCCCCACACAAGTGTTCTTGCTAAAAGCACCCAGCCCTGCTAGGGTCAGAGCCTATAGGGCACCCCTGCCTAACTGGACACTCTTCCTGCCTGCCTGCCCTGCCCAGGGACCCCCACATCTCCCAGAGATGGGTTAGGTGTTCCTCACCCACCACTGTGCACCTCCACTGTTTCCTAACTTCCCAAACAGCCCCACTAAGGACTTTCACTGTTGGGTGATGGATTGGGGCTTTTGTCTACCCTGAGGGCAGGGATGGGCCTGGGGCCTGAGGACTCCAGCTCTAGGACAAGTGTGGGGAAAGCAGGTGGACACTCCAAGTGCGAATCCCGACTCTCCCCCCTCCCAATTGGATGGCAGCTGAGGGCATGCCCTGCTCACGTGAAGATGCGGGCAGTCTTGTGCAGCAGGTCACGCTCCTGCTGGGAGCTGCCACCACTGCGCATGCCATGCCGGATGATGCTCAGCAGCGGCTGGAGCAGCTCCAGGACCAGGGGGTTCTCGGGCTGCTTGGTCACCAGCACCTCAATCAGGTCCAACACCTGTGGCCGGGAGGTGGGTCAGCCTGTGCAGAGTGTGGGGGAGGGGGTGGGGCAGGCCACAGAGCTTACTCGGATCTGGAAGTCCCGCCGCAGCGCCTTCTCCTTCTGCAGCTTGTTCTTCTCATCCCGGCGAGCTTGGATGCGCAGCTTTTGCTCAGCAAAGAGGCTGGCGAGGCTCTGGTCCAAGGCCATCATGGCCTCATCCCCCAGCTCCTCCTCCTCATCCTCACTGTCTGCGCCGCCCTGAGGGACAGGGTCTGCTGTCAGCTTGGCCTCAGGCGAGAACACATGCCTCCTCCCCCTGGCTCTTGCTCACCAGCGCCTTCCCGGCCTGCAGCACGGCCATCAGCTGCTCCCGGAAGCCCTGGTCCACGTCCCCTTCACGATCCTCCTCCTCACTCTCCTCTTCATCCTCACTTTCCTCCTCACTTTCCGAGTTTTTGTTGTCCTCACTGTCCTCGCTCTTGTCCTATGGGGGCAAGTGCGTTGTCACAAAGCCCCACAGCTACCACATCTGCCTACTGCTGCCGCCCTGCCCTGGCCCTCGGTGCCAAGTACCTCTGTGTCCTCTAGCTGCTTCTTGTCGGAATCGTCAGTGACCACCACATGTTCGTCCTCATCCTGGCTCATCTCAGGGTTCAGCACCTGGGGAGGATGCCCAGCCACTGCCTCTTTGCCTCCCTGCCCCCAGCCCTCCTCAGATCACTGGGTCCTCCCAACTGCCACCCCTAATCAGCATTACCCAAAGATCCCCATTTGAGGGAGGAAAATGGAGCCCAGCAGAGGTGATGGCCCCTTTCAGTGCCTCTTTGACAGACCTACCCACTCTGCAGGACCACAGAGAGGTGGCCAGAGGAGGATGGGACCCCTGAGGCAGAAATTGTTCTCTGTGGGCCCCACTCCCAAAGGTCCCAACTCACATCCAGAATTAGCTGCAGGGCACGTGGGGTCAAGTGGGAGCAGATGTGGCCAAACACACTCCGGGCCACCTGGCGCATCAAGTGGCTAGGCTGGGCCAACAGGGCCAGAAGGATCTCCACAAGCACCTCCACCCACGGCAGCTCCTGGGAGTCTGAGGGGGCAAAGAGCGCTGAGCCCAAGTGGGGCCGATGACCTGGCCATACCTCTCCAGCCCCTCCTGTGCCCAAAGGCATGCCCAGCCTGTCCTGCTTAAGGAGCAATGACCCACTGGTGGCCTTGGCGCGGCTCCGACGGGTCTTCTCCCCCAGGCTCTTCTTGATGCAGGTCTGGATGTCAGAGAGCAGGTCACAGCTCTCTGCAGGGGACTGTGGGCAGGACGGGACAGAATCAGGGCCAGCCTTTGCTGACATCAGAGGCCTTGAACACTCAGGCCACCACCTTCGAAAGCCAGAACAGAAGTCCCCACCTAGACCTTGGGGACAGCCCAAGAGCTAATAACCTTTTTACATATAATATGCAGTCATAGGATCTGACAGCCTATGGGAGCTCAACTTCCTCACTGACACCAGAGGCAGAACCTGATAAGACAAGCAGGGTCACAGAGAAGCCAGCAGGTTCCAGCCTCCTCACTTGGAATTCTAGATCATTCCCCCCACACCTCGCTTGGTATTAGAGATAGAATTGCAAGTTATTCATTTTAGTAATTTAACTAAATTTAAACTAATCTTGCTGGAGATGAGCTGACACCCCAGCCGGTGAGGTAGGAGGGATACATCTTGAAAACATACTGTGTGACGTATGGTACCTAAAGGGCAGACCTCCCCTCAGAGTATACCAAGCAGCTTGAGTGTTTAGGCCAGAACAGGAGCCCAGAGCCCTGGCTATCGCCGTCCACTTCCCAGGCCCTGTGACCCAGCAGGTCCCTGTCCTCCTCTGGGCTGCACTATGTATCCAAGGATTTGACATACTCTGAACTACAGCAGCCTCTGTTCAAGTCAAGCTCAGAAATCCCAGTGCCAGGGGAGGCCCTGCACGGGTCCTAGAATCACTACAGCTCCACTGCTATCAAAGCCCTGACACCACAGTCACCCTTCCCCATGGCTTGTCACAGGCTGGTCTCGGAACCAAAGACCACAGCCAAGTGGCCAGAAGGGAGCAAATAAGAGACCCACCTACTCAGGCTACTTAATTCCTAAGGCTGCCCCTGTGAGAGCCTTACACAATGTGAGAACTTTCAAAGAAATTGGGATTTAAAGTCAAGAAGAAACCACAGGGATTAAAAGCACTGGTGGCATGGAGCTTCAAACGTAAAGGATTCTTATTGGGGAGAACAGAAAGTGGGACCCCACAATTCTACAGCGCTTATTAGAAGGTATACAAGTTAAAGTGTGTGACAGAGTGAAACCTAATGTGATGGGGTACAGAATTCTATGCTGTAGACCTAGAGGGAAAAAATGCGAACCTCAGCCATTAACACTACTAGTTCTGGGTGGGTGAGGGCAAGCAAAAAACTGGGACCCCATTTCTGATTAACTAACAAGCCCCAGAGGAGCAGAGCCCTCCTCCTGGGAAGTAGCCCTTTCTCCTTCACATCCATCACCTCTCCTTCCCACAACATATCTGGGAGGGCATGTGGGATTCAATGGCTGTGTGGCTCTCTGGCTCTCAGTTTTCTCTCATGTCAAACAAGGGGAAGAATAGCCTGCCTAGCAGTTAGGATTATGGGAGACCCTGCACAGAAAGCTTAGGACACAGGCTGGTGCCCAGTATGTGGATGGAGTGATTTTTCCTTCGGTTATTAATTCTACTCATGATGGGACTGGCTTAGAAAACCTTCCAACTTCAACTCCCCAGAGCCTTCCCCAGCCAACTGGGTAGCCCTCAGCCCCCTAGGAGGCTCAGAGTACCCCAGAAGTCCAGGTTCACAGAAGCCCTCCAACCCAGGCCACTGTACCTTGAAGAGGTGGATGCCCACCAGGAGCAGCAGGTGCTGAAAGGCGGCAGCTCTGGCCTCTGTGGAGTGGGCCTCCAGCTCCTTCAGAGTCTGCAGCATCCTGGGGTAAGAGCGGCATGTTCATAGGCCACCACTGCTGGTCAGACTGCAATCTCCTGCCCACCCCCCTGGAAATCCCACCCACTCACTGGTCCCAAGCCTGGCGCTGCTGCGTCGTGAAGGGCATCACAGTGGTCACACTGCGGCTGTGGCTCAGCAGTTTGTCTGCCAACTGCACCAGGCGGTAGGTCCAGGACTGCCCACCCTGCGTCTGGTCTGGAGCCTGCTTGAACTGTGTGGTAAGGGTCTGCAGCAGACTGGGCAATGGGTGGGGGTCACAGGCCTGGACAAGTAAACATGGCCACCTCCCTCCGCCCACCCCAGAGCTCAGTCCCTCATTTCCCCTGGACCTTTTGGAATGCAATGGGCTTCTACCACTGTTTCCAGCTTAGGGGAGCTGGAGAGAGTAAGCATCCTCAAGGCCATCTTTCCACCTGCAGACCCCTTCCAAGCTGCCCAAGACTCACCTGAAGAAGGCATTGCTGACAACCTCCCGGGACTGGCTCTCCAAAGGGAAGGAGAACTGCTGCTTAGTCTCTGGGATCTGGGACATGGGCTTCTTTGTTACAAAATATGAGTGGAACAAACAAAACCTGGGGAGGGTGGGAGAGTAGCCAGTGTTGCCTCAGTGCCGTTCTCTTTTTAGGCTCTCCTTGGGTGGTGCCAAGGGAGTGATGCTAGGAGCAGGGGAAGACATTTCTGCTCTGGGTATAGCCCTCAGGGACCTAAGAGACAAGGCTGGGGGGAGACCCAGAGCCCCTCCTTTGGAACCAAGACAGATGTGAGGCTATGTGCTCATGGCCAAGTGACATCACTGTTTCTGCAGACCTGAGACTAGTGAAGCCCCTTCATGTGACTGTAATGAGGGTGAAACGAGCACCTCGCTGGCTGGCTGGGACAGATGAGGCAGGTGTCAGGCACAAGGCTTCCCTGACATCACCAGTGTGCACAGGCACAGCTGAGCTGTCCCTGCAGCCCTAAACCTCCTGGGCTGCTGGAAAATTTCCTAGTTCCCCTGTGCTTAGTACCCACTGATGGCACAACTTGAAGACTTCCAGCTCCAGGGAATCCCTGATTAGGACTAGGCAAAGGGCCCAATCCCTTGGCCACACCACCCAAGGAGGTAGGGCTCCAGCATATTGCACACCTGGCCACCTGCTCAACCAAGGCCTCCTCCTTCTCCAAGTGCACATTGTCCACGATGCTGACCAGTCGATGGATAAGCCACTTTCGCAGTCGGGCCACAGCTCGCTCAGGCCTGGGGGTGGGAGCCAAGGTCACAGACAATATTTAGAGATGGCAAAAATAAGGTACTCCTCCTCTTCCCCTAAGTGGCCTGAGATGATCTATGAAAATGGTTCTCTATTTACTTGACCCAGAAAACCCCACAAAGTCAGGCAAGTCAAGAGGCTCAAATCTTCGTGTTCAAGAACACATGTGAAACGTCCTAGGCATCAAGGGTATGCATATACGAAAAGCCACCACGTATCTGAAGGATGTCACCTTAAAGAAACAGTGTGTACCATTCTGACGTTACAATGGTGGAGCTGGTAGGTGTGCCCAGGCCAAACAGTGGGGCTGGCTGAACACAGGGTTGGTGGCCCAAAAAGAGTGCTGAATTTTTGCTGCATATGCTTAAAAATGCAGAAAGTAATGCTGAACTTAAAGGTTCAGATGTAGATTCTCTGGTCATTGAGCATATCTAAGTGAACAAAGTACCCAAGATGAGTCGCCAGACTTAACAGAGCTCATGGTCGGTTAACCCACACATGTGCTCCCCCTGCCACATCGAGATGATCCTTACTGAAAAGTAACAGATTGTTCCCAAACCAGAAGAGGAGGTAGCACAGAAGAAAAAGATATCCCAGAAGAAACTGAAGAAATAAAAACTTATGGTACAGAAATAGACACAACATAAAATAAATGCAAGTAACGGTAAAAAAGAAAAAAATAAGGTGCTCCTTTAAAAGATGAAAAACCGGCTAGGCGCCTGTGGCCCAAATGGCTAAGGCGCCAGCCACATACACCTGAGACACTTGCCAAACAACAAGGACAGCTACAACCAAAAAATAGCCAGGTGTTGTGGTGGGCGCCTGTGGTCCCAGCTACTTGAGAGGCTGAGGCAGGAGACTTGCTTGAGCCCAGGAGTTGGAGGTTGCTGTGAGCTGTGATGCCATAGCACTCTGCCCAGGGGGACAGCTTGAGGCTCTGTCTCAAAAAAAAAAAAAGAAAAGGATGAAAAACCAAAAACACAGGGCAGAGTGCTGGTTAGGAGCCCAGACTGATCTGGTTTCAAATCCTACTCAGCTAATTCCTACCTGTGTCATCTTTGGGCTCAAAAACCATACCTGTCCTGATCTTGGAGACAGGAAACCATGATTTTCCCCCACCCTTATCACCAGCACGGGGTCACACGAGGAAACTGAGACCTTGTTTGAAAGTTAAGGATCTTCCCCTCCCTCCCATCCTATAGTCTAGAGCAGTGATTTTCAACCAGTGTGCCATGGAAATTTTTGAAGATTAAATTATCTTCAAAAGAAGTTCAAAATACAATAACTATATTCCTTTTATAACTGTTTTTTTGATTAGCATAATTTAAGTGTGCCACAGAAATTTAACTATAACTATTAATTTAACTATTTCTCAACTGTGCTGTAAGAAAAAGGCTGAAAACACTGGTTTACAGCCACAACACCATGGGAGGGAGGATCCAGGTGGTTGGGTTCCATGGGCCCAGGAAGCCAACTCCCAAATCCTGGCCCTTTTCCTTGGGCCACTCACACATGGAGTGATGCATCCTGGGTTTTCTTCTGGTTGTTGGTGCTGAAGTCAACCAAAGAGTCCAGGTTGGGGTGGAGAAACATGTCCTGCAGCCAGGCCACATAGCCCTGCAGGGCAGGGGGACTCAGGAACCGTACGACCCACCAGAAGGAAGGCACGACAGGGAGACCTTGGTTGGTGATGGATGAGAAGGCCACCAGCACAGCCAGCTGCCGCTCAGGGTCATCCTGGCAGCCCTCCAGGAAGGTGCCCACGTAATTGTCCATCTCCGGGGCAAATCTGAACTGGTTCGGGAGCTGAAAGAGTGAGGCATGGTGCTGGGCTCACCAGTCCGGTCAGGGGAGCAGGAAGCAACAGCACCAGTGTGACTTTGCCACTGCAGGTTAAATCAAGGCCCAGACGCCCCCCTCCCTTGCACACAGTCAGACTGAGCCTAAACCTGAAGTAGTTCCCTGTCACCCCAATGCTTCTGTTCGGTGTCAAGTGCTGTGTGCTAAGCACCATGCTACACAGTGGCTGCTTGTTTAACGTTTGTAATGACCCTTTAAACTGGACCACTATTGTCATTTTTTAGATGTTGAAAGTGAGGTGCAAACCCCCCAAATTTTCAGGATCACAGGGCTTTCAGTGGTGTAACTGGGTTTTGAATCCAGTCATTCTGTACTTAAAACCCAACCTCCACCTTTTTTTGAGACAAGAGTCTTACTCTTTTGCCCTGCCTCATCATACCTCACTGCAACTTCAAACTTCTGGGCTCATGCGATTTCCTGCCCCAGCTTCCCAAGCAGCTGAGACTATAGGCTTATATCATGCCTGACTAGTTTTTCTATTTATAGAAGAGACAGAGTCTTGCTGGTTCAAACTTCTGGGCTCAAGAGATACTCCAGCCTCAGCCTCCCAGTGTCCTAAGATTATAGACATGAGCCACCACGGGAAACCCAACCCAAGCTTTTAACCACTGCTCTATACTTCCTGAACTTGCCCAGAAAATAAGAATGAGAGTTCTCTGAAATGAAATGAGCTGGTGAGAACAGCAAACCTAGCAGTGCTTAGTGGGCAAAACAGTGCTCAAACATTGGTAGAGATGATAGTCCTCATCATTTTAAGACCTGCCAGGATTGTTGGGAGGACTGGACAAGCCACTGCTACCCACGCTCCTGTGAGAGGCCTGAGGGCAGAAGGGCTGACCTCGCCAAAATTCCATCCAGAGGGGAAGGGATTCCACACAGCCCACTTTACCCAGAGGGAAGTGATGCCAGGTCCCCTGAAGAGTCCCTCATCCCCTGCTCTGAGCTGTGTGGAATGGCGCCTACCTTGGCAGTGACCATGTGCTCCCCATAATGGCGGATCAAGTCTCCCCGCATCACCATCTGCAGCTGCTCCTTGGACAACAGGGGCAAGGCCTCACCCAGCAGGCGGAAACACAGGTAGCTAAGGGGTATGGGACAGAGCCTGGTCAGAGCTCTCAGTCTCCCAGGAACAGACAGGGAGGACGGCTGAGAGAGGACTAGTGCCACACGCACCTGGCTGGCCAGGACTGTTTCTTCAGCACCCCTTGCTCTACAACTTCCTTCCAGAACCGTGGGAACTTATCCTCCTTAAGTGCCAGGTGGAGCAGGTCCCGAGCCACAGGTGGCAGCTTGCGTTCTTTCTTCACGGAGGAGGAAGCCATCTTTAGCACATTCACCAGTCTGAGGAGGAGGAGGGTACTCAGTGAACACTCACCTAACAGACCAGGGCAGCAGGGACACTTCCAGGCCACACAGCAAATCTGGGCCTGGCCAGATGCAGCCTGGTGGCCCAAAGGAGAGCTGATCCGCCCGCCTCCCTCACACCTGGGCACATTCTCATCCGAGAATAGGTTGACTGATCCCATCATGCTCTTGAGCTTTGTGGGCACCTTCTGCTGGGCCAAGAGGAAGAGCTCCAGGCGCTCAGGGGAGTTGAGGATCACATTCAAGTCCGCCTTGAGGACCTTGGGCAGGATTTCCTGTAACATGGCCTCTGGGACCTAGAGACAGGCAGATGGATGGTTAAGGGATGGTGGCTCCCTCCCAGCACCCTTTAGTCTCTCCCTATGTAGAGAGAGGCCTGAACATTAACTCAAGTCTCCATAACAGGGAACGCTGCCAAGCCCCTGTAGCTGGAGAGCCTTACCTCAGACATGATGTCCACAAGGGCCTTCTGTGGCTGCTCTTGTAAGTGGTTGTAGTGCTGGGCCAAGGCTTGCAGCAACTTCACCGACTTCATCAGTGCCTCCTGGTCCTGGTCCCCACAGAGAGCCAGAGGGTGTGGTTACGGCATTGCTACTGCCACCTACTTCTCACAAGCAAATCCATGTTCCCCCGGTGCCCCCAAAGTTCTCACCTTCACCAGTCGGCCTGACTGAAAGAGGGCTAGTACCCCAAATAGGTTTCCAAAGAGAACAGGTCTCACCGTTGCCTAGAATAGGATCCAGACACAGGTGAGAAGGGCCCAAGTACTCCCCCATCTGCCCAATCCTCACAGCTGCTGACCTGCCTGGGGCCACGCTCACCTTTTTCACATGATGTAGGTCATATTTTTCTTGTATCTGCTGCAGGACGCTGCACAAGGGGATGTCTTCAAAGGACTGTAACAGCTGCCAGGAATTGTGGTAGGAGGAAGAGAGAATCAGAGCAGTGACCCAGCTGTATCCCAAAAAATCTCAACCTCCCATCTCCCTTTTCCCAAGGAGCCTTGGGTCCCTCCCTATTTTCACCCTAAGGATGCTTCTCCAGCTGCTCACGCCCTTTCGCAGCACTGAGGCTGCAACACCACTGCTCAAAGGGGAAATGCATCTTGGATCCCTGTCCCATCCCCACCAGGGCTTCAGAAAGTACATTCTATAGTGCTTAGATTGCATGACTGAAATTCTCAGCCGCGCTGTCTCAAACCCCACTTAGGCTGATCTGAAAAGACTGGGTCTTAATTCTTCCAGTTGTCTGAGTTCCTCAGAGGGTGGCCTATAACCAGCTGAATGCCCTTGCCACAGTCATAAGGAAGCTCATCCCAAAGCTCAACACACCCAGTAAGTGTTCCTAAGAGTCTGGTCAACTTAAGTACCAAAAAGAAAACTTGCTCAATTTCCCATTCCACCTGCCTGGACTTCATTGTGGGCAGGCCTTGTTCACAACCTTCTTCACCTCCTTGTAAGGACCCTCCCCTCAGGCTGGCCTTCTTCAGCTCAGGCACCCCCCCCCACACACACACTTTCCGTCAGGCCACCCCTCTTTCGCAGCTGAGACCTTGCCCTCTTACACACCATTTGAACCGCATGGCTGTGCCCCTGCCAGGAGCAGCACCACCTTACCTGTGCCAGAGCCAGGCTGTAGCAGGGCCGGGCTGTTTCTCGCCCGACTCCGAGCCCAGTGATCAGGCGCTTCAAGGCGTACTTCATCTCAGATCCCTGCAGAACCCAACGCATCCTCGTGTTGAACAGTGTGGAGAATCTGCCAGCTCTCTCCCTCCCAGACATTCAGGTTCCCGACCACTTGCCCCCAGCCCCAAATCAGGTTCGCGACCACTTGACCCCAGTCCCAAATCTTTGCCGGGATCTACGCAGCTCCCTGCCCCGTACCTGCGGCCTTGTGCGCAAATACTCCAGCAGCTTCTCTGTGGCCTCAAGCCGCGTCTTCTGCTGCGGCTTCGCAATGTCCCAGAAGAAATCCAAGAACTCGCGGCTGTGCTGTAGCAGAGCATGACGGTCGGCAGGCAGGGCGCCGCTCTGCGTCGCCTCTCCCGGAGACACCGGCGCAGACATCTCCTGACTTTCCATCTCCGCCATGCTCTCGGAAACACGTGGGTATCGGAGGTCGCGGCGCATGTGCACTGGGTTGAGGAGGCTCGGGGGCGGGGCCGGGAGGGGGCGGGCCCTGGTCAGGGCGGGGCTGGGGCGGGACCATAGAAGGTCTGGCCCCTCCGGTCTCAGACTGGGTGGAAACTGCTCCCTGCGAGTTTTTGACCTTCTCGAGCTCCTGCCGTGGTGGTTGTGGCAATCAATTGTACCCCTGGTACCCTACTTGAGCATCCCTGAGGGCTCATCTCGGAAAACAACTCGAAGTGAAGCAAATCCATCCACCTAGTCCCTGAGCGACCCCTGCGCTCTGAACACTGAACCACTGGACAATTACTGAGCTCCAACCGTGTGCGGGGCACTGCGCTGTACTAGGAAGGCAAAGTCGCTGTCTTCCTGGACTTCCTGTGTCTAGGAGACAGCTGATGAGACGTAGCCAAATACATTTAAAAATATTGTAGTTGTGAAGACAATAAAGAAGGAATGCAGGGGATCAGAGGAGCCTTTTAAATTTTGAAGAATGTGAATACATCACTTGTTAAAAACTTTGCTAATTAAAAATAAAATTCAATAGGTTTTATCATAACCGATTTGAGGAGATGGTCATGGAAGATTTCCGTGAGGAGGTGACATTGAGCTGAGTGACAAGAAGGATCTCACCCCCCAGCACCCTGCAAAGATCTAAGAGGGGACAAATTCCCAGGGATTGTAGCTACAAAGGCCCATGGCTGGAGGGGATGAGGTTGAGGAGATGGGTCAGGGTCAGAGAAACAAGGTTGTGTGGGACCTCAGGCCAGGATTGGAGTCTGGATTTCATCCTAAGTATGATGGGAATTCATTGGAGGGGTTTATGCAGAAACAGATCTTGATCAGATTTACACTTTTAAAAGATTGTGCTGACTGCGGTGTGCGGGGATGGCCTCTAGGTGTGCCCTGGTTGAGGTGAGAAGACTGAAGACGACCGACAACAGTGGACTGGACCAAGGCAAAATGAGAGAACAGGTCCTGTCTGTGCCCATTGGGAGCTGGTGGGTTGGGTGATGGATTGGATATTGGGGGAGTGAAAAGGAGGGGCATGCCAGGTTTAGGGCTAAAATAATGTGGTACATGGTGGTGTGATTACTGAGCTGGGGAAGAATTTTCTTTGGAAGGGGAGGTAGAGGTAGTGGGATTAAGAGTTTTATTAAATCAGAGAAGCATTTTATTAATACAATGGTGGGGGAGGGGGAAGGGCTACTGGCTACCCCTGCTTCTTGGTTGAGAAGCTGTTTCTAGAGGATTATGGTCCAGAGAAACCCCAGTCATAGCAGGGAGGAGAGGGCTAACCTTGGCCTTTACATTCCATACACCCAGGTCCAGCCCCTTTATAACCAAGTCCCTTGGGTACCTGCTACTTGTCCTCTCAACCCCTTTTCTGCTCTGCTGTCTGTTTTAAAAAGTGGAATTAAGAGATTTACCTTGCACATACAGTGCCCCAGAAGGCAGAAGGTGAGCAGAGCAGGAGAAGCTGAAAGACACTAGCCGAGTCCCCTCTGTGGGTGTTGGTCACTTGTGCTGCCCATCAAGGAAGCCCTGCATCCAGGTGCATCAGAGGCTGGTGGGAAGTTAACCAAGAAGCAGGAATGGCATCTGGCCTCCAGGAGACTTGATCTTTATTTTGTGTCCAGTCCAGTTGTGGGAGATGAGCAGGGAGTGGCCTGAGGGGAGGATGGAGACCCCAGGCTCTGTCTGCCCTGCCCATGGGGCCCAGAGCCTGGGCAAGGGCTAAGCATTCTTCCATTTGTCCTTCCCAGAGCTGGATATGAATTTAGGGCTAGCCACAGGCCCTGTTGCTCTTTGCTCATTATCTTCAGTTTCCTTAGGTGGTAAAAAAAAAAAAAAAAAAAAAAAACAACCCAGAGATTCCATCTGGGGGAGTGTTTTGAAGAATGATTGAGCTAATCCTGGATGCCACAACTCAAGTCCAGGTAACTGACCAGGTTCAGAGTTGGGGCCTGAGTCAGTAGTGAGCACATAACAGACGCCTGCTTTTCATGCACACCATTGCTGCTGGGGCTGCTCTGCTCCCTCTCCCATTAGAATCCCTGGAAGGGGCAGCAGCCACTGGGGACACTGGAGACATGGGCATGCTCTGCATGGGCTGACACCTGGAGCAAGGTTCCTTGGCCACAAGCTTTAGGACTCTCTGTTGGTTCTTGCTGGGTCTGGCTCTGGGGCCCAGCCAGATGGCTGACTAAGGCACAAGCTATGGCTCTGGCCACATCAGGGGTCCCTGAAGCTACCCATCCAAACACTTCAGCCTCGGTGTCATCTGGGCTGCCATGGAGGATGAGTGGGCAGGCCCAGGTGCTAGTTGCAGACCCAGGCACCAGGTTGCTAAGCAGAACCCCAGTGCTTGGAGACAGGTGTCCGGAGCCAAAGGAGCTGTTGAGTGAGGAGATGAGAAGGAGCATGGAGCCACTGTTGTCCACGGTGGCCAGGATGCTGCTGGCAGGGGTGGTGGTAGTTTGCAGGAATGGTGGGCAGGGATCAGGGCTAGGTGCCCCAGAGACTAAGGTTGTCTCCAGCTGTGCCAGCAGTTCTGGGCCAGCTGAGGGGCTAGGGGTGGTGAACAGGATGCCCTGGGGCATAGGTAGCCTCATTGCTGGCTCCAAGGTGGGCCTGGGCCCAGCGGAGGGTGCCTCTACCCCCAGGTCTCTGGCCAGCAGACTCAGCAGGGCATCCCCAGCAAGGTCTGAGGTGGGGGTGAGTGCTGCCCCCTGTAGCACAGCTGCCAGTTTTGGGTTGGTGGCTCGGGCCCCAGGACCCAGGGGTGTCCCGTCAGCATGGCAAAGCAGTGGACAGAGGCCTTCTGTGCCCTGAGCTGCCAGAGCCTTTGCCAGGGCTGTGTCCACCAGGAAGCCCTTTTGAGCCAGGGCAATGGGGCCCACCAGCAGCCGTGGCCAGGGCAGGCGGCCGAAGCGTGCATGTATCAAGTGCAGGGTGGGTAGAGCTGCAGGTAATGCCAGGTTGGAGGCTAGAGTCTGCGCTGGGCCTGACGTCAGGGCAGTCGAATTTCCGGAGGAGCTATTGTGGAAGAGGCCCCAGAATGTGGCACCTGGGAGAGGACAAAGGGGCCACACAGGGGTCAGGTGCGCTGGCCAGGACTGGTATCAGGGCCACTCAGCACCTCAGGTGAAGGGCCACAGACTTGTTTGAAGTGGAGGTCACTGACTGAGCCTGGGCTCAGGAGTTACTGACCAGGCCTGGACTCAAGATTACATAGACCTGGGATGCAGGGTCACAGCCTACGATTTGGGCCACTGCTCAAATCCTAGCTCTAGGTTACTAACCAGCCTTGAGGCCACTGATCAGGCCCTGGGTGCTATCTGGGGACATGGGTCACTGACCTAGCCCTGTGGCATGAGGATGTACCACTGCCAGGCACAGAGCAGCTCCAACACCTGCGTCCACGACATTACCCCCAGCAACAAGCAGCTCTCGTCCCAGGTCAGAGCATGTGGCTGTAGCAAGGAAGAGACTGTCATGAGGAAGGGGCCAGTGAGCGCTGAATCCCTCCCCTGAGCTGCCCCCAGCACTGACCTGCAGGGCTGATGATGGCGCTGTGGTGGTATACGCCTGGGCTGTGGGAGTGTCCGCTGGGAGGAGGGGCCACAGAGCCCAAGTTTCCTGTCAAGCCGCCCTTAGTTTGGAGTTGCCACACAGCCAGGGAGCCGCTAATGGCCAGCAGCAGCAGGCTAGCTGCTAGTCGGGCCCAGGCCCCGGGCAGCCCACTGGGCTTGTTCCTGCAGAGGGGAGCATTCTGAGCCAGGGCTAGGATAAACCCCCAAGAAAACCAGGGAATGTTTCCCCAAAGGGTTTGATTTTGCAAAAGGAATACTAGTTTGTCAAGGAGAACAGGGCTTCCGGGCAGAGGGCACAGCATGGATGGAGACATGGAGTTGGGAAAGAGGTTGGGGAGACTGCAGATAGCTAGGGAGGGCATCTCTAGAGAAGGGCTGGAGAGCCAGAGTCAAGTCAGGGGAGTGAGAGGCCTGGCAGGGGCCTGGCAGGCACAGGAGATGGGGTTGGGGAACCGGCCCAGCCAGGACCCAACCTGCCTAAGCAGATGCCTGCCTCCTTGCCCCAGGCAGTGGAGGGGGGCCTGGCACCTTTGACAGAGCAGCAGACAGGACAGGGGATGGCTTGGTACAAATCTCCCTTCAGGCTTACTGCCCCCGAGTGACTGCTCAGGCTACATCTGAGACTGTCACCTAAGTGTCCCCCCCTCAACCAGAAAGTTCCTTGAGCTGAGCCAAGCACAGAATTGCCTGTCTCCCCTTTGGGACTTGCCAGCCTCAAACCTGAGAAGCTGAGGGTGCTCAGACCCCTCCCCAACTCACCCAGAAGAGTCCTGCGGCCTCCAGGGGTTGGGAACCAGTGGCTGTGAGATTTCCCTTTCTTCTTCTTCCTCCTCCTCCTCCTCCACCTCCAGGCTTGACTCCCACAGCAGTAGCTTCTGATAGAGCACAGGCCCTTCTGTGGGGTCCATGGCTCCCTTGAGCCCTCCCCAGCCTTCCTGCCTGCCAGCCTTCCTGGCCGTGTCGCAGAGGCCCTACCCAAGCTGGACAGGTAGGAAGTGGTGGCAGCCTTGGGGAAAGGTGGTGAAATTTAGAACAGGTCTGGGCAGGGCTCAGGGCCAAGGAGGCTGTGCATGAGCTGGCCCATTAAGACCCAGGCCTGAGGAGGTACATACACTCAGGGTTCCCAGTGTGGCTGCCTGTCAGGGGCCACAGCTCAGTGAGGTCAAAGAGGAGTTCACACTCCTTGGGTGGTCACACACCTTGGGACCCAGGACATGTGCTAGGCCCCTCCCCTTGGGGGGTGCAGCCCTCAGATCATGGACCTGCCCAAGACCCAGACTTGATAGTCTAGGGACGGTAGAGTTGAATTAGAGCTACAATTACATGGTGGCTTGCGTCAAGGCTCAGCATGTGATTAGGTTCTGGTGTAGGGGTATCTGGTCTCAGGCTGAGGTCAAGGCTCAGGCTCAGGCTACTCTGAGGTCTGGGTTTCTCTGGGTAACCACTTGGGTAAGGTGACCAGACATCCTGCTTTTGGCGGACGGTCCCGATTTTTAGCAATTTGTCCCACGTCCCACAGCATTTTAAAAAAGTCATGATTTTTGGAAAGAATGCACGACAAGCTAGGGAACAGCAGGACAACGGGAAGGGAATATACGGTCAGGCTGCTGAAAAGGTTAATGTAACTCCATTTGGGAATGAAGAGGTTAATGTAACTTCATTTGGAAATGAAAAGGCTAATGTAAACTCCCTACTCCCCTCCTGGGCAAGGTCGCCCAGGTGGACCAGCACCCTACTCCTTTGAGCCACAGGCGCTGCCCTATACATAATTTTTAAAAAATGTACTATATTTGTAAATTGTACTTATGTCGAAATTAAAAATATATATATTACAATACTATTTTTGCATTCTATGAAAATTTTTGTTGCTCCACATAGATTAATTTTTTTTAATTAAGACCCCCCACTCCCGCCCAGGTCAATGGTGTCCTGCTTTACCAATGTTAAAATCTGGTCACCACACACTTGGGTGATGAACGCCAACTCCCTGGGCATGTTATGCAACTATTTTCCAGCAGGTGGCGCCAAAGACCTCTGAGGGGAGCCTCAGGCCAAGCTCCAGATTTCACTCTTGGATTTTAAGCAAAGATTTGTCCTTTAGCAAAACAGCAGTATCTGTAACCGCCCCAGATTGGAAGACTGCCACAACACCTGTTATCGGTAGAATGAGTGATGCTTAAGTCACATGCTGTGACTCTGCCCCAGTGAGAATGAGTGATCTGCTCAAGTTAAGGAGGTGTCAATGTAGGGAGGTGGTCAGCTATGGGGGGGAGGGTCTACTGTATTTCTGAAGCAGAAGGGATGAATCACGAAGCACCTCTGGAGTCTCTTTCCTGTCAGCATCTAGTTTTTATCCACTGCTTTCATCTCTTGTCAAAAGTGCTCCAATTGCCTTTGAGCTCCAGCCTTTTCCTTGTTGAGAGTTCTTGACTTAGACATTACCACCTGCAGTGGGTGCGTCAGGATTTTGGCTGCCTGCTCTCCTTCTCTTCCCTAACAGCATCCGGATTTTCTGATAGGAGATTATTCCTCCCTCTTTGTGTCCTGGTGAGAAATTGAGGTGAGTTCTAGGATTTGGGGCGATCAAAGGGAAAATGACCACAAGATGGCAGTAGTACACATGGGCTTTATTGGGGTGGCGTTTGTACAAGGTTGCTGTGAGGGTCGCAGGGAACTCCCTAGGGAGAGGGGATTTACATGTCTAGATGAGGTGGGTGTCTCTGGGACAAAGAACAAACAAGAGCAACAGTGGCCTGGGCTCTTTTTAGCCCCAGAGTTTGTCCCATCTATGGCCAGCGCATGCTGGGTGCAGTTTGGCAGGGTATGAAAGCAGGCAGGATCTAAGAAGCTCAACATACGCTTATTTGGGCTACTTAATTTAAAGGCATTGGATGTATAAAAATTTGAGCTTGGTCTGGGTGCAGTGCTTCACGGCTGCAGTCTTAGCACTCTCGGAAGCCAAAGTGGTGGATTGCTTGAGCTCAGGAGTTTGAGACCAGCCTAAGCAAGAGTAAGAACCCATCTCTACCAAAAATAGAAAAACTAGCTGGGTGTGGTGGTGCGTGCTTGTAGTCCCAGTTACTTGGAAGTCTAAGGCAAGAGGATCACTTGAGCTCAAGAGTCCGAGGTTGCTGTGAGCTATGATGATGCCATTGTACTCCACCCAGGGCAGCAGGGTGAGACTCTATCTCAAAAGAAATAAATAAAACATTTGAGTTTGGCTCCCGTGGGTTTTTGAGCCAGTTGTCCTGTTGTGAAGAAGTAAACAATACAGAGACCAACACATAGGGTTCATCTTTAGCTCAGTCACATGGTAGAAGTGAATATATCCAGAGCCTCCCACCCCTTCCTCCCACTGGAGAAGTCAGGGAGCAGATCCAGCAGAAGCCTGCCCTGCTGGTACACATGGCCTAGGCTCAGCCAGGGAGATAACTGTCCCAGGTCTTCCAATAGGCATGTGTGCCTTCAATATTGCAGGTGAGAATCGTTGGCCATTCTGGCTCTACCAAGAGCCATCACTGTGCTTCTCACATCTTGATCCTTTAGAGCAGGTTTTGTCAACCAAGTCCCTCTTCTGAACTACAAAACATAGGACATGACTTGAGCAATGACTTCCCCAATTCTCCCCAAAGTCTTTGTCTTTTCCCTTTCTTCCTACCTGGAACTTCTTCTAGACCTGGGCCATGGAGACAGTGGGGTGATATCAAGGGCAGTGTGGTAGGAAGCTAAAGGGAGCCTGGGCTCTGATGACCTCTCAGCTTGCTGGATCACTTCAAGTTATAAAAGTCTCATTTCAAGATTGGCTCCCATAGCACAGTGGTTACAGTGTCAGCCACATACACTGAGGATGGCAGGTTCGAACCAGGCCCAGGCCAGCTAAACAACTGCAACAAAAAAATAGCCGGACACTGTGGCGGGTGCCTGTAGTCCCACCTCCATAGGAGGCTGAGGCAAGAGATTCGCTTAAGCCCAAGAGTTTGAGCTTGCTGTGAGCTGTGATGTCACAGCACTCTACTGAGGGTGACAAAGTGAGACTCTGTCTTAAAAGAAAAAGCCTCATTTCATTAATTGCAATATAAAGAAAGTGTAGTCAGGGCAGCACCTGTGGCTTAGTGGGTAGGATGCTGGCCCCATATACCGAGGTGGTGGGTTCAAACTTGGCCCTAGCCAAATTGCAACAAAAAATAGCCAGGTGTTGTGGCAGGTGCCTGTAGTCCCAGCTACTTGGGAGGCTGAGGCAAGAGAATCACCTAAGCCCAAGAGCTGGAGGTTGCTGTGAGCTGTGACTCCACGGCACTCTACCAAAGGCAACAAAGTGAGACTCTGTCTCTATAAATAAATAAATAAATAAAGTTAAAAAACTTCTTAGCACCTTCTTGGTCTGTTTGGGGCAAGCAGCCTGCAATTTGAGAAGGTGTGTGTGTTGGGGGGGCATTATAGAGAGACTATAATTAACTTTTTGATTTCCTTTCCTCCTATCTGGCTCACCCTGGGACAGCTCTTCCTTCTCTCTTTTCCTCCCTCCTTCCTTTCCTTCCTCCATTCCTTCTTTCTTCCCTTCCTTCCTTCCTCCCCCTGTTTTTGGTCCCACCAGGCTTGACCTGGGGGAGGACAAGGATGCAAGGGGCAGGAAAGGTTTTATTTTGATTAGTGCTGTAGGAGTTGGCATGGGCTTAGATTCCTGGGCTTTGCATGCATATGTAGCTGACTCTTTATCTAGTGGGGGCACTTCTGTACGTTTTTCCAAGACCCTGTAGTCCACACCATTATTGAGATCTCCTGCTCACCCTTGTTTTGGTGTAGCTGACGCCTCCTTCAGGTTCTTGCTGCTGAGGTCTCACCTTCCCGCCAGGTGGCGCTCCTGGGCAGGTTTTTAACATGGCCCGGCGCTGGTTTTTGGGCCCGGCGCTGGTTTTTGTGCCCCCGGATCACGTCTGGTCTGTGGGTAACAATCTTACGTCCTTTACTTCTGCAGATTTTCGAGGTACCACCTTCCAATGCAACAGATTTACTACCTTTAATTTGCTGTCAAAACCACTCTTAGGCTCAAATCTTTTACCCATTAAAAAAAAATCGGGTAGATTTATTATGGAGTTTAAAGAGTTCCTTGTGCACGCTGGATACAAACCCTGTATAACATAAATACATTTCCCAGTCTGTGGCTTGCCTGTTCATTTTCTAATAACATCTTTAAAGAACAAAACTTTTTAATTTTGGTAAAGTTCTGTTTATCATTTTGGTTTTGTTTGTTTGTTTCTTTCTTTTTTTTGAGACAGAGCCTCAAGCTGTCACCCTGGGTAGAGTGCTGTGGCATCACAGCTCACAGCAACCTCCAACTCCTGGACTCAAGC